ATCAGTCGTTAGTGATATAGTACTTGGCATGAGGAAAGATAATCCCAGGGATGAGCCAGTTAGTTGAAGTCAAGTATAGTTCTATCTGTTATTGGTTGTTTTCTTTATTATAGGATATTTCACATGTACTGTGCTCACTTCTCGATATGTATCATAATGATCGAGTGGATATCGAGAAACGAGATAGTCAAGGCCGTACAGCTCTTCATTACGCTGTTAAGAATGATTGCTCGGCAAATGTGAAACTTTTGCTTTTGCACAGAGCTAAATATGATGTATGATTATTTTTCTTTGTCTGTATTACATTTGAATTCATGTCATTGACAACAGGCAGTGGATGTATACCAAGCGACTCCACTTCATTATGCATGTCGTTTCAATGAAAAACAGACTATCGTTGAGTTATTATTGCGTCAAGCTGCTAGAGAAAATAAAGATACTAATGTTCAACAGCATGATGATTCGATTCCAATTTGTCCCGAAGTGCAAGACTATGTTAGTCAACGCACCGCAAGTGGACAGGATGCATACACAGTAGCTACTAGTGAACATCATTCTACTATTGCCAAATTGCTTGAAAACTACCTTGCACAAAAACCTCTGGAGTTACCTAGCAGTGCATTATATGAGAATTTCGAAAACCTAGAAAATATTCGACAAGCTATGTATACTTGGGACAATACTGAATTAGATAGATTACTTAGAGAGCGATCACACTTACAGGAGACTCGAACCAAGCAAGAGGCACACCAAGAAACGCCTCTTCACATGGCTTGTACCTATGATAGATGTGATCTTATAGACGCTTTCTTGTCTAAATCTAATGAATTATCTTACATGGATCAGACGCACTCACTGACCATGTACAATCCGCCCCAAGGTTTCCCACCTCTACTTACTGCTGTTCAAACTGGTCATGAATTATGTTTCCGAAAAATTTTCAATTATCTCAGCAAGAAGCAAGACGATATACTGTATGGCTCAATCGCACGACCAAACAAATCAGACTCTAATCCAACGAATAGGTATAGTATCTTTAGATTGAACAAATCATGTGTAACTTATATTTCAAAAGATGTACGAATGTATTTCATTTATGTGTACGTCTTGACCGCACTACAATGTTAGAACACGTTTTGAAAAAAAGCGCAAGCAGAACACTTTTAGTTGATAAATTAATTCGTCCTCTGTTGAACGCTGAAGATGTCCATGGTTATACTCCAATGTGTATTGGAGCTCGTCTTGGCCGCAAATATGCATGTGATATACTGTTTGATTTGGCAGTTTTAACCACAAATCAGTCAAATCAGTCGGATGATTTTTTGTCTAATAATGAACCGGATGCTTACGCTGATAAAGGTAAGATCCTTTTTTTTTGTTCTTGGATGCATCTTTGTTCACGATTAATAGACGATAGTAATGAACAATTGAAAAAGGTAACCACGTTGCTACAAAGCGTCGCTTTATTTTTTATGTTGCTTGTTTTAAAATGAATTTTCATATTATAGCTGATGATGAATGCCGTCTTACAATTAAAAAAGCACACACGTAAGTTATGTGAAGCTCAGATTCGACTGTTTTCATGGCAGATTCGTCTAAGCTCATGTTTCAATACTGGTTTCATATGTTTCAAGCAAAATTCGACAAGCTCTGTCAGATGTTGAAAACTACTAATCGGTACCTTCGATAATAACTGAGAGAAACAAAAAAATAGAAAGCCAATCATCTATGACGTACTCTCAAAAAAAAATAAGGTACCATACGAAACCAAAAATGGTTTCGTGTGCGATACGAAACTTAAAAAAGTGCCGAACAAGGTACAGAACTTTAAAAAGGTTTCGAATTTTGCAACGAAAATGAAACCTTTTTTAGGGTTTCGTATGAAACCTTTGAAATCTTAAAAAAACACTCTTAAAGTTCGAACGATCATTTTGGACTTATCTTGGATTTTTACGAAGCCTCAAAAAAGGTTTCGCTTTCGTTGCAAAAATGGTTTCGTGTGACACCTTATTTTTTTACAGAGTACTGCGATGATAATCCTGACTAAACGTGTAATAAAGACTTCTCGACAACAGAATATTCAATCGAGATGAAATTACAGTATCTGGTATAGCTCGTTGAATTTTACTTATAACACGAATAGTTTTGTTAGAATATAGTCATATATGACTTTGCTCTTAAAACGGTCGAATCTGAGGCTTATATAATCTCCGTAGGATACAGTAAGGTTTACGCTGATCTTGTTGCACTTAATCATGATGGAAGGAATCGATTTCCTATACATGAAGCAGTTGTTGCCGGTCAAACCGATATCGTCCAACTATTCTTCAATCGCATCATTCGATACGATCAAAAACAACGATTACTCTCTTTGGAAAATAAACAAGGACAAACAGCACTTCATCTAGCTGCAATTTATGGTCTTAACGTTTTCACAGTTATTTTTGTTTTAAACTTTATCTAATTTATCTTAGGTCGTCTAGATATAGTCTCTATCTTGCTCACCAACGAAGCCAACATGGATGCCCGGGATTCCTGTGAAAATATACCTCTGCACTATGCTGCCGCTTCTAAACACCCTTTGCAAGAACGATCAGTTCAAATTTTTGAACAATTTCTAAAATGTATGACTCAATTACCGTTGAATACATCTGTACGACTGGATTTTTTTAGTTTGTCATACGTCTGAAAGTGGTGATGACGATGACAACAACAACGAGACGAGTATGTTGCCTCATAAGATGATGAATTCTCTCTTGGCTCGTGATCGACAAGGTTATAATTGTATGGAATTAGCTATTCAAGCTAACAATATTCCATTTGTCAAACGTCTCTTTGAATGCAAAACTAATCAATGGAAAAAATTGATGCGTAATGCTCAATTAAGTCAAAACGATAAATATGTTGATACTCCTATGCGAAAATTAGTCCGCTGCATGCCCGAAATAGCATATCAAGCACTCGACAAATGTAAAATGGAAACTAATTTTCCAAATGAATATGATCAATCATTATGTGAAAAACAGTTCGATTTTGAATTTCTCGAAGATCATTGTCATATTAAAAAATGGCAATCCGGTAAATCACGTAATTTTCAGAAAAAGCAAAAGAAGATCAGTAAGAGAAATTGTTTTAATTGTTCGGGTGAGTTACATTTTGTTTGTGACGAGTTACCCAGAGGATCGGATGATGACTTCGGAGAACCATACTCTGATGATGCATATGTTCTTGTCAAAAATCATGTTCTTTCAATAATTGCTGAGCAGGCTAGAGATAGTGATAAAACAGATGATACTATTGTGAAACTTCAAACAAAATTACTTCGACATCCAACATGTCAAAAGTTAATGAATCAAAAATGGCATCACTTTGGAGTTCCAATCTTTGCAACCTGTTTTATCGCCTATGTACTATATTTAGCTCTCTTTACTTGGACTGTTCTTCGTCACACTGATCCATATCAATTCTACAATGCCACTGGTGTTCCTTTTTCAAATGATAGAGCATGTGAAAAAGTGGCACAGTTAATCCGAAATGGAACATACAATATGACACAAAAGCCTAGTTGGGGTTTGAAGACATCTACGGATCGCGCTCTAAAATATACTATTTATGTGCTTCTCTGGTTACATGTATTTAAAGGACTGCTTTTTATTCGTATCTATCAATTTCAACTAGTTTTTCGATTTTATGCTGAAACGATTTCTCTAATTCTTGGTTTTGTATTTTTGTATGATACCAGACCATGGCAAGAAGATGTCACACTCCGTTGTTTCGTTCAATGGCAAGTAGGTGCGTTTGGTCTCTTTCTGTCATGGTCCACTCTACTTGTTTACATTCGATCTTTTCCATTGATTGGTCTTACGGTAGTTATGCTCGAGGTTGTTATTCGTCGATTCATCTGGGTGACTCCTGTTCTTCTCGTTCTTATTTGCTCTTTTTGCTTCTCTTTCTTTATGCTCCTACAAGAGCAAGTTCCCTTCAGTAATGTCGGTTTTGCTTGGATGCGTACAGGTTAGAAAAATAAATTGAATTGATATATAGTAATTATCTTGATATTCTTCTGTTTAGCTTTCATGATGCTTGACACTAGTTACGAGACTCGATTCTTTGGTCCCAATGGAGATTCTCTAATTATTTTGTATCCTGTTCTTTTTTTCATGTTTATTCTTTACGGTGTCACTATTGCTATACTGTTTAACAATCTTTTGATCGGTAAGAATTAGTTCTAATATTCTTGACTAAGGACCTCTCCGCTATAGGTTTGGCAGTTGGAGAGATTCCCCGACTATCCGATATTGCAAAACTGGAGAATGCCATACTTCATTATGAACTTTTGCAGGAATGTCAACTTTTTCGTCTCGTATATTTCTACAAACATAATCCAGCACTTTATTTACACGGGAAAACTGTCGAACAACAGGGTATATGGAAGAAATGGACCACTCGATTTCAAAATTATTTCCATGCTTGACTTCAAATGTTACCTTAAACAAGAATAAATTGAATTAATAGAAAAATACGCACGAAGACCATCATTCACTTATCAAATGTTCATTTATTAGAATAAAAATTGGTTATCTTCTTCTATAGGAAGAAATACAGGCTTAGTCAGGCATTTTTGTCAATAGAGATTTCATACTTCACTATTTTTCGAGTCATTAGTAAAATTCGAAGTAAGTCTCAAATTTGTCTTATGTTTTATAATGTGTTCACCTTCAATGAAAAGAATGCATTTGACGAAATTCACAAATACGCATGACTTGATGACACTGTGATCGATGGAGAAGAGCAAGGAGGTTGCACAAGAAAAATCACTCATTTCACTTAAGCGTGTTCTAATTTATTCTGACTAATTCACAATGAAAGTAGTAAAAATTATTGGTGACATCACATAAGACACAAACTGTAGTGATTGGAAAGCAAAAATAAAAAAGAAAGTCGAAAGAACGGCAATTAAAGACAAGAATAAACTCCACTAGATCAAGAAAAATAAAGAAAGTCTAAATGCAGAAACCGATAAGATTGAAAATTGAACACACATACGAAGAAAAAGAAACGTTTTTGATATTCTTCTAGTAAAATATATTTGCCAGCAAATGAAATTTCAATAAATAGTCGAAACATGTGTGTTGATTCATTGACTGACGTGAACATCAAGCATAGCCTATAAGATTTTATTGATAGTTACAACTTGGAGTATGGATATGATATGAATCTTCTCTTCAGTCATATTCACATGTCGGCAACTACACCTAAAGTAAAGTTTTCATTTCTCGACAGAACTTCTAGTTGCCACTTAAACACTGATAAAGAAAGAAAAACGGCATTGCACTGAAATTAAGCGAATAAGCAGTGAAAGATCTCTTATCTTATATCTGATCCGCCATTCATGATGAGAATTCTATGAAAATACCTCGATAATAACGATAAATAGCGCCGCCTATATACATTGAGCCCCTTTTTGATCCAAAACCTTATGTTCAATTTAAAAGAAAATAATATTTTTGGATTTAATATCGTTCAAATCATGTGGAGTCCTTGCTAAAACCCTAGCTGGTACATACATGTGCACTTTTTTCTACTGTTTCGTTATTTCGTTATACACCATATGCTGCAACCACGTATTATTTAATGTTTTGTCAATGAAAGAATCTTATGAACACTCTTTTCTTGTTATACATATAAGAACATCAAAAAATAATGTTATTTTTTGTTGTGATGTTTATAGAAATAAAGTCAGATAAAGTCATTCTAGGTTTGCCAACAATGATTTATGCTATTCAATTGGTTAGTTCCAATCAAATAGAATTGATATACTTTGTTAAACATAACCCATAAGCAAAAACTAAATTTGACAAAAAACCCATTTTATGATAGTAGTGGATATTACAGGCACTTGAAACGAATGGCATTAAAATATGAATTTTTCCTCGTTGCTTCTATAATTTCTTCTATAAATAATGGATTTATTGCCACGCATTATGATTTATTTATTTCCTATCAAACAAACCATACAACATGGGTCGGTTCAAACTTACAACAACGTAAATAGGACAACTTTCTTTCAGTTTAAAAAAATGCGTAAATATTAATCAATAATATCAACACGTTTCATTTGCCAACCCATTTTGCTTAAGACTAATGGTTCAATAAAATAAAGATCATTATTTGTCTTCTAGACTCAATCGCCAAAGTGTCATTCAGTCAGTCATCAACTATATCAGTTGTAAATTACCACCATATTTCACAATCATTATAGTGACTAGACTTCAACAGTGGTCACTATTTACTTGAATAAGTTTTATTAAAATCTCAAGAATCGGAACCATCAAATGAAAAGTTGTTCTATATTCTAAAAATTGTAAGTGTGGATCTGAATGAGTTTGGGTCTTTGTGAAGCAAAGATTCATACTCACACTTCATATAATTTGATCGAAAAATATCCAATGTCATTCTAGTCTCAGAAATATATGCAAGGCATACTTGAACAATTTATGCCAATACATTCGACATCAGCCTCAAATGAAAGACTTTGTAGCATATTTGAATATACTTTAGATATTCAGCAAACAAATTGGTTATCATCCTGCTTATGTCAAATCCATCTGTCATCTAACTATCTTTTGGTTGTTTTTTATTGTATTTTCAGCTTTGTACGATGAGTACATGTTATATTGATGACATTTTAGATAAAATCCTATTCGTTTGGTCAGTTTACTTATGTAAGTGGGAAAAACGTAACGAATAATATGCTCATTATCATTTTTTTTCTTGGAAGATGATATACTGTTCTTTCTCTGTGGACATGAAAAGATAACTTTCATAGTATTTCTTTCTTTGTTATGCTCCCCATTAATTCCATATGTAATGATATAATGTTCTCGTGTTCAATTTTTTCTACTTGTATAAGTGGTTTTCTAGAATAAAATATATAGTTTTTTCAGCGATGAGTCACAAGAGATGTGAACTACTATAGTAAAAATTTATGTCAAGATTGTTCTGTCATATCAAATTATAATTTGACGCTAATTCCAACTTCATTACAACGATCATAGCATGTTCGCGTCTTTCTTAAAAATTTCCAATTAATAATGTTGACTGTAGCCTCTATTTTGTGATAACCGCCATCTTCTTTAACCCTATAACGTTATGGGCCTTGATCAACGCATTCTTCCCTGGTTTTCAAAAAAAGACACTAAATATATCTCTGGCATCAAAATTATTTTATACTTTAATGCTAGAGAGATCACTTTCTACAGAAATATGTCGTTGAAAAACCTTCAAACATATATTATTAAAAACAACTTCTTCATGTAAGCTATGATGCTTGATTTATTGCTTTTGCTTTCTTTGTTTCAGATTGAAAGTAAATATTTCATAATGAACTTCATCCTAAATCTTGGAAAAAAAACTACTTCATTTTGATATTCATCGGTTAAATCTATTTATCAGTAAATTTAGTGAATTTCTGTAGTACAAACTTAATATTTAAAACGATTCTAGACCTAGATTTACACAAACTTAAGTGTCAAATACATTAACACGAAAAACAATATCATACCAGTCTGCATACGTCTAGTGAAATCGAAAATTTTATTTGTTGAGAAACATTATAATGCAATAAATTTGAAGAAAAATATTGGCAAAATAGTTTTCCGTTATTGCTTTTCTGTATGGCTTTTACCTAATTTCTTAGACGCAGTGCATGTCTTTGCTGAACACATGGACCAGTGTTCTAGATAGATTTAAAATCTATTCAATATTAAAACACATTTGTACGTATATAATAAATGAATCATAAGAGATTTTGTGATGTGTTGATCTTTTATTATTCTATTTTTTGTTTCTTTTATTATTCATTCAAAATTAAACTTTTCAATAAATACATGACTAAATTTTACTGCGGATGTTTCTACATATTCATCTTCTGTATCAGTTGAGTCAATCGTTGTCATATGACTAATCCTATTATTAGAGATTGAACACTGTTGCTGTACTTTGCTTGAATTTGTACTAATCCAAGGATTACAACACGGACTAGGCGAATTGCGTGGTGTATTCGGTATTGTTCGATCACTACTTTGTTCATCTTCATAATTCCACAATGGTTGACCATATGTTAATTGGACTTTGTTAAATTTTTCATAATCAAAACCTTCAAGTGTTGAATCACAAGATGAAAATTCATAACCCCATAAAATTTCCTTAGGTAAATAAGATGTACGAAAATGACATGAAAATCCAGTATAATCAAAAACACCTTCAATAATTGAAATTATTTCAAAATGTTCTTTTTCTAATGTAGATCTTTGAATACCATATAGTGGACTCTGACTATCAATAATATGTTCAACAACAGTGGGCCGAGGAAAAAAAAGTCGACCATTACGAAGATGTGTTAATTCCATATCATAAATTTGATGAGGAATTATTTCACCTTCAAGTGTTCGTCGTTGACGAATCATTAATAAACGAACACTAGCAGATATTAATTGTGAAAGTGATAAATTTCCTATAGTAATAATAAAATCATTTATTTAAATTTATAGCATGATTTTAATATACCTATTCGAAATGTGAACGTCAGTTGGTTATCTCTTGGAAGAATAAGTGCTTTATCACTGAAGACAACGAATTGAGATTTTTCTAAAATATTAAAAACTTAATTCAACTGCACATTAAAATGAACATTTGAAATTGTTCAAAGAAAAAAAAAATTATTTTATTTCAAAAACTCGTTATTTCATATTAAGAAAACTTAAGTTTCGAAGAAAAATTATTTTCAATTTGTAAATAAAACGGGCTTTTCATCATGACAATAACCCTATGTTCTTTATTTCACAGAAACTTATTGCAATTTAATTTTGTTCACATGAAAACCACATAGCTCATGTATATGACTTCATATTGTAGTTAAACTAACTTTTACTTATATTTTCTGAAGCTTTTTTGTTTTTTTTTTCTAATCTACACATTTCCTTCTTGTAGATTAATTTTCAACTCAAGAGTTTTCTACCACTTGAAAACATTTCTTCATCAAATTTGTTATGTTTTATTAGCATTACACTACCTTCTCTTGCTCCTTTCTAATAAATATTTTATGTTTATATAAATAATCCATGTTTAAGAAAAGTTTTTAACTGTATAGATAACATAAGACTAAGAAGGGAACCTCTTCAGCTGCCTTCTCCTGATGTCAATGAGTTTTTGTCTATAGATATTACATAGTGTTTTCATAAGAATTCTAAAAGGAGCTTGATTCCTACTGAGATTCGATTAGATTATCGAATTTTGGTTCGAAACATTGTGTCTACAGAGAAGTCGACTAGACTAGTTTTCGTAAATAAGAATTCAGATATTTGGAACAAAGTCTCTTCAAGTATATAAGACTGTCATGATATAGAATCTTTTTTATGGATAGTGTATTTACGAGATACGTTTTTTAAAAGCTTCATATCTCAAAACGACGTAATGTTTCAGATCGAAATTCGGAAATACGACTTTTCTGAGAACAAGAGGCTTCAAGAAATCAGGTATAATAAAAGACGCCATAGCTTAGTCGAATCTTAATAAGAACCAAAATCCTTATAAGGTTTTTATTACAATACTATGTAGTATGTATAAAAAGGTTCCGTCGTAGGTAGTCGCGTGTTCACATTCTTGTGAACCTAGACTTGTACTCTGACCTAGCAAATATAAACCAAAAAGTAATGATTCGAACTTGAACTAGTAACTCTTGACATAAAACACTAACATATATTGAAAAACTTATGCAATTATATTTACAATTGGTCATGAAGCTATCTACGAAAATCGAACAAGCTACAGACTATTTATTAGCTTTTAGTGACATATAGAAAAGAAAATTTAGTCAAGAGAGAAAAAAAAAATTTCACCTGTTGGTCTGGATAGTTTACTAAAAACAATTTGTGTTACAATAACTTGTAATAAATATCCCAATGATGATTGAAGTGTCAGTACAAGAATTCCTCCCATACATTCTGTTGTTATATATCGTGAACCATAGCCAATTGTATGTTGAGTTTCAATAGAAAAAAGAAGTGCACTTAAAAAATTGTGTACATCTTTAACACATGTTTCTTTTTCAATCGATGATGTTCCATAAGTATAATTCGTTAAATTTCCTAATAAAGCCTCTTCTTCTTCTGTTAACACAAAATCTCCATGTTCAATTGATATAAGAAAATAAAGAAATGCAAATATAAACCAACTTGATATAAAACCAAATAAAACAAATGATAATACTAACCACCATTCAGCTTGCATGATATATAAAATCATATTTGAATGCATATTTTTTATACGTCCAAAAGATAAATAATTAACATTAATATGACCATCTTTATTAACGAAACGAAATTCATCAGTTGATGACCAATCATTTATATCATTATTTACATTAACAGCTTGATATTGTCCTTTATTATCATTATTTATATTCATTATTTATTATTAGATAGAAGAAGTTTTTTTTTTCTTATAATATGTACTAATAATGTGGTGAAAGATGGAAATCGAGAGACGACTAAAAAAAACCAAAAAAAGTAAAAACAACTGACTTCACTATCTTTCAATATTCTATACATGCCTTCATCCGTCACAGTCAGCTTCACATATATACTTCACTTACCTATTGATAAACACGTGTGCAATTTTTTTCTTCTGTCCTATACACTATCATTAGTAAGGTGCCTGATGATATTTTTATAATTATGCGACGTTTTCAATACCTGAATGATCATTTATTTTTTCATCTGTATTCGATACATATGCACTTGTAGATATATAGTAATATATCATCAACACTCAGCTGTATCTTGCATTTTTTTTTAAATAAACAAAAATTACATACAATGTTATTTCAATACTAATGAATATCATCAACAAAGTAACAATTATTCATATTTATTCATTAGATGTTAACATGAGTAATAGTTTTGGTTAGCTTATATGTTCATATTTCGGATGATAAGCATTAATCGTAGTATTAGAATATCATCATTTTTTTTAATTATTCAAAGGAATAATACAAAATAGTTGCTTATATTATTTATATGTTAGTTTAAGACTAATCGTATAAAAATTATTAAGTTGAAGAAAAGTCTATCAGTAGCATAACAGAAGTTAGAATGCTTGTTATTATTTGGTCCATTCTGATAAATAATATACAACAACCAAAAAATATGGAATTGTCGAAACTACTAACTAAAGTAATACATTTTTTCTCTAAGAATAATATTGGGTACATTGTCATACCTGAGCATTGAGTGATGAATTATCAATCAATGTAGAAAGTAGAGTCCTGTGTAGTGCTTTTGCACGTTAATTGAGAGAAAGATACATTACATAAATTATTTATTTTCTGATATACTGTGAAATTGAAAATTATTGATACATTCGAACAAAATAATGAAACTATTACATGTCCGCTAGAACCTGACAGTCAAACGAAAGAATACAGCAATAGGTGTTGTCTACTTATATTAAATTTCAACTTGGCTAAAACTTTTTCATACAGGTCTTATAAAGTTGGATGTAAATTTTTCGATGTGAGTAGTTTTGCATTTGAAAAATATCGGTGTTTTTCAATATCATAACTGCTTTTAATCAACAATACACAATATTTTGTGAAAATACATGGCTTTCAGATGCTGTCATCATCGAAGACATGACAATGCACTATCGAAACCTGTATTTATTCAGCAATTAATTAACTATGGATCAAGTTGAAATTTTGGTACAAGAAAGCTATATTAGCTGCTATACAGTCGTTGTAAATCAAAGTAATATTACTGACAATACAATATCGCATGACGATCACATTTAAATGCAAATGACAATTAACCTGTCCGTAGTTGAAGTGTGTAAAAAAAAATAGATAAATATGAGACATAACTATAGTTAAATACACTTAACAGTTCTAATGACATTTTATAGTACTTTTGTGTGTAGATTTAATTTGCGTTATTGATGTAAATAATAAATTATTTGGTAGAAGTTAGAAATTAGAGTATAAGGCGTGTTTTGATATGTGAATTTAGAAAATTCAAAACAATTTCACACGCATTTTTTAAGAATTATAATCAATGAGACAAACTATGACCTTAAATAATAATTTGAAGCACTTTCATAGATTATTCTAATATTTGACGCCGATGAGATACAAACAAGTACAAAATACGTAAAATTATTTTTCTAATGAGTAAATATTGTGATTTCAAAAATATTAGTAAGATATTTTGTTTTGAATTAAAGTCCGTTAGGAAAATAAAGTTTATCAGCTTTAAATAGTAAAGATAATCATAAGAAGTTTCTAAACAATTTTACATCCTATCGATATAAAAGATTCTCAATCATACGCAACTTTAAACTAGACTTAAGTAATTCAAAATCATGAGTATAATTATTAATTAGGCTGAAGGACATTAATTTTATTTATAATATGAAAACTTTCAAATAACTCAATACTTATTAAGACACTTAAAATATGTTGCTTTCAGTATTAACTCTTGATGACTATTATTATACAGTTTAAAAGGAGTGTTAAAGCAAAAGAATATAAAGTAACACTCCTCCCCTACTCTAAACCATAGCAGGTACCTTAGCAACACATCCTCCGCTGCGTAACAGACGTCGTTGATATACGATCATAGACCGTATATCAATAACGTCTTGTTATAATATGTGTACTACTGTCATATTGAATTTCGAAAGTATTAAGTAAAAGGGGATGATGAAAAATGTGTCCTAAAATAATCTTCCTATGATTAACAACGGCACCCATATCCTGTTTCATATTTTAATCCCACAGAGATTGCACTAACAGATTTCTCTCTTGACTTCATTTTTGATTATTGCTGCAATATGTTCAATTACAGTGAGGCTATGAAAATTCCAAAGTCTGATATTGTTGTCCAGAAATAAATATGGTTGAGTTATATGAAAATATTTTATGTTCATATCTTTTTTGTCCTTGTATATTGTAAAGAAAACTAATGTTCTTCATAGTGATAATGGCTTACATTCACGATATTTTCAGTTAGATCTACTTTAATTATTTAATACTAACAAAATCTATTTTCTCAAAGTGTTTTTATTCGATATAAATATAGTTATTAATGCTTTTTGAAATTATAATGTTATCTCTCCTTGTAAAAACATTTTTTTACACATTCTATATATCATAGATAATATACTCAAATAGTTATCTCACCTTCTTTCTGTAATCTCATCGTAAATCAAAGATTATTTAATCTATCAATTGTTTAGCAACGTTAATTCTTGTCAGTCTTCCTATCACTGAAATTTTCTTTTTTCTTTGATCGAATATTTCATAAAAATGTGAAGTTAAAATATAAAAATTTAATTTTACCCTAAATATACTGCCATCTATGATAATATCAAATCTTTGGAGTAAATATTTCAACCAATAGATAAGAAATAAATAAAAACTTTCGAACGAATAGATTCACTATTTCTTGTCTTCATTCAATTAAAGACATTCACTTGAATCCTCCAATGAAAATATTGAATCAATCTAAATGAGGGTAGATAAAGATACAATAACTTTATAATGGTGTTAATACTTAATCTCTAACATAAGGAAATAAACAAATCTATACATATATTAATCATATGATTTAATGTCACCAACAAATTTAAATACATTCATCTCACGTTTACGATCCTATATAACATCATCAATCAATACTAATCAATTTAATGATAATAGAGAAGAAATTTCTCTTCGAAGAAAATATGAACGAAATTATGCATCAGCTATATGTGGTATGTTTGCTATAGCAACATTAGTTGTAAGTCTATTTGATTATCGTTGGTTTTGGTTAAATGGTGGAATATGTAATTTAAAATATATTGGTTTAAATATGTTTTTTTCTATGGGAAAATTATTTGTTATACAAACTCCTGTTCCATGGGATACTTCAGCACCAATAAATGATATATACGAATTTAAACCAAATAATTATATGGGTATGTTTTATTCATTAAGAGATAAAACGAGAAAAAACAAGGAGATGGTTTGATCTTTTTTTTTTTTATTTCTTCTATATAGCATTAATTGGTTGTATTGATAGACGTTCATTAATAACACTTCGTTTAATGATAACATTTATTTGTTTAGCAATAATATCATCAACGATTGGATTTTTATTAGATGCATTAGGACCAATGAAATATTCATTAAAATTTATGAGACGTCATGCTTTTTGGTATATTTTATCAGGTAAAATAGAATTTAATTGATCATTCTATATTTTCATTTTCTTGTTGTTCTTTTTGTTCTTTTCGTATCTTAGTTTTTCTTTGTGTAATAGTAATTGGTCTTTGTTTTTATGTATCAGAATTAATTTATGATATACAAGATAAAACTCGTTTAAAATTTGGTAAAAAAATTGAAGTACAATTCGATATAGCATATTATCTTCTTGTTATTTCGAATGTTCTTCTATTATTGGCGATTACTTTTGCACTTTTTAAAAAATATCCAACACATGATGAAGAAGATGTTGAAAGGTGAATTAATTTCTTTTTTTGCAATTTTTTTTTGCGAAGTGGAAATCGTAGTGAGATCAGTCTTGAAGTTTTTGAGCTATAGTTTGTAACACGGAGTAGGTTATAACTGAAGTCCGTCGGGTTCAAAATTTTCGAATCCGATCGACTCTCTAGTTCGATGTAACGGAACACAAAAGTTTTTCGTTTTCTTCTTTATATATGTTTAGTTAAGTATCATATTTACAGCGCATAAACTAGGTGATAGGAAATTTTTAATAGAAACAAAATACAGAGCTTCAGTTTTCACCTTTAGACAGAGGAGACGTAGATGCATCGGACTGCTTACTACAGTTTTTTCGACCTGATTTTTTTCAAATTTTTCAATTGATCTTTTCGAAAAGTAGCATACTTTGTAAGATGACACTAGTGGATTTATGAATGATTAGATATACGTCCAAACCACGAATGAATGATCTACAAAGAAGCAATGGCTTTAAATAGTCACATTTTTACCTTTCTATTATATTAAAAGGAATCATATTTCCAAAATTTTGTTTCTGAATTCGATGAAGAACAAAACTTCAGAAAACATCTCAGAAGAATCTATAATAGCTGATTCGATGTAATTTCATTCACCTTTTTTCGATGGTGAAAACCGCAGCGCACTATATTTTATCAAAGTTTATTCAAAAAATATCCGCATGTATAAAGTAGAAAATGAAAAACCAAATGTGTTCATTCACTATTGTACTACGCTGTATATGCTAAAGTCTGCTGTCTTTTTCTTTCGGTTTTATGTTAAAGAAATTTAAAATTTAGATTAATTGATAATTGGTCAAGACGTGAACAAGCATTATTTATTGAACGATCATTACCAGCTGTTATATCAACTATTCCTAATAATAATGAACCACCACCAGATTATTATTCTGATGAAGATTTTCTTGTTTTGTAAATAAATATTCCTATTTTATTTCTGTTTTGTTTTGTTTAAACAGTGATTGTATTTACATATGAATTGTAATTGTATAAGAAAATTTCAGATAATGAAAATATTCTATCAAAGATATTTCAAGTAATTTTTGATTGCATGTGTCACTACTTATCATGGTTCTTTCTGAAAAACAAAAACATGAACTGTAAGATTGATTGCATAGATAGTTTTGTTCTTTTTTTGTTGTTGTTGTTGTTCATTAAATATGCATATTAATATTTAGTAATCAAGCTATTGCTGATTATCTAGTATCAAATGGTTATACCGTATCATGTAAAGAATTTTGTAGAGAAGCAAATATTGTATGTAAAGAAAATTTATTTTTCAAATTTTTGTTTGTTCAATTAGATTTAAATATTTTAGTCCATAAATGAAAATTCTGAAAAAAAAGATCAATTAGAAAAAAAATGGACCTCAGTCATACGATTACAGAAAAAAGTAAGAAATAAAAAACATATTCATATTGTATCAAGATTAATAATCTTAAAATTCTTATGGATAAATTATGGTAAATTTTTTTCTTATCGTTATAATTTTAAAAAATTGATGGTAAAGAATATTTGAGAGTTGTTTATGAGGAGTAAGGATGTAGACTGACAAACTAGAAGAACAGAATATAATAATCAGAGTAATAGCGTGATGAAATGATAACAGAACGGAGCAAAAAAAAAACATCTTTTGCTTATTGAGCAAATGTAGAAACAACTAGACTAAAAAGAGTATTCTCTCTCTCTGAGAACTGAAGAGGATAATTTCTGATCTTACACTAAAATTTGTTCCACAGTTTCGTTCTATGAAAAAGTAGACATGAGAAATATCGATTTGATTTCGAAGTTAGATCATCTAATCAAATATTCTACTCTAGTTTTTTTATCTAAAGAAAATCTCAATCATATCGAGACCAAAACAAGAAAACAACATCTAATCTCAATACCTTGTATTATCTCTTTATCATATCGATAAAGTATCCTAAAGACGATTTATTTTTTTTGGTCGATATAATCTTCACACGATTTCAATATGTGACTTATATTTTAAAGGTTATGGACCTCGAGTTAAAACTACAAGACGCTCTTCAAGAAGTAACAACAGGTGGCCCAACAAGAGAGAAACGCTCACCCGGCGAATGGATACCTCGACCTCCTGAAAAATTTGAATTAAAAGGTCATCGTGATACGGTGACACGTGTTGTCTTTCATCCAACTTTCGATCTTATTGCATCAGCTAGTGAAGATGCCACAATCAAAGTAAAAAGAAAAAACTTAACTGAAACAAGAAATTTATATTTTATATATAGATTTGGGATTATGACTCAGGTGAACATGAACGAACACTAAAAGGCCATACAGCACCGGTGCAAGATATAGCTTTTGATCATACAGGCAAATGGCTAGGTAAATTAATTTCATTGATTAGCATGATTTTTTATTTTTTATTGTTATTGTTTAGTATCATGTTCGGCTGATATGAGTGTTCGATTATGGGATTTCCAAACATACCACTGCGTTAAAACAATGCATGGTAAAAGAAAAATACAAAAAAAAAACGTATTGTTTTATATTTTATATTCTTAGGTCATGATCATAATGTATCTTCAGTAACATTTACACCTAGTGGTGATCACATAATATCCGGTAGTCGTGATAAAACAATTAAAATTTGGGAAGTATCAACGGCGTAAGTTTTCTTATCAACAAAAAAAAACTAAAAAAAACAATAAACAAATACTATATAGATTTTGTATTAAAACTCTTATTGGTCATCGAGAATGGGTACGTATGGTACGTGTTTATCAAGATGGAACACTCATTGCAAGTTCATCAGTCGATCATGTATATTATTTTATTTTATTTTTTGTTTTTTATATTAAATGTCATATAATTTAATAGAATATAAGAATATGGTCGTTACCAAGTGGTGAATGTAAAGGTGAATTACGTGGTCATGACAATGTTGTTGAATGTATTGCTTGGGCGCCTGATTCCGCTGGATCAAATATATCAGAACCTATTCCTAATGGTGGCATTGAGGTATTCGATTTTTTAGATATTGCTTAGCGTAAACTCAATAGTAATGACGGAAGTATATTAATTTCTTATAATTAAAAACTTAAAGAAATTTTCTTTTGTTGATATGAACTGACAGTTAAAACAATCGTCTACATATTTGTGATATTTTGATCATTTTTTAGCTAATATCATAATGATAAAAATTTCGATAAGACTTGTTGTTTATAGCATGTGGCAATATTATTATATTGGATTTTATCTTCAATGTGTATTCTTCTCTTAATGTTCATTGCAGCAGCTTCTGGAATTTTCTTTTGAAATTATTAGAACTTTTCTATAAACTCTGTTACATACGTTATCATAGAATGAAAAAAAAAACTAAACTGAAGGCAAATATCTAGGTGAGTGTGAGAAGGACACTTAAGGTAGAGTATCAGTTGCAAATGAAAGTTGACTCTTCAGAAATATGGCTCTATTTGAATATAGGTAAAATGTATTGTATGATATCATTAGAATAACTTCAGGTAATTAGGTAGTTTTTGAAAACGTGGTTGTGACAGTGAAGCAAAAAAGAAATACAAAAATAAGTTTATCAAGTGTTTGTTCATCAAATATTCCAAATAATCAGCCTGACTATTTATTCTCGATTGCATTCGTTGAATGCATTAATCAAACACTTTTTTATATAGTGTTCTATTTAAAGAATTCTTGAGTTTAGTTACAGCATTATGTAACGATTCGGACTCGTTTTGATAGCTTATATTTTCTTTGACTAAGTCGTATAACCACAAATCACATGATACTAGATATACATGAAAAAGTTTTACAAGAACAATTAAAAACATGCTTGACCACATTGCGTTCTTTTTGTTAAAGGACAAACGCATTATTAACGACAAAGAACTGCTTTTATTAAACGTTTTCTTAATTGATAAACATCGGTTTTTCAAGAATATATTCAAATATATCTTTTGATGATCACATTCTAAGACTGTTAAAAGGCACTTTTCGTACAAGAAATCGGAAAAAAATTCTTTACAGAAACTTAATTAACCATTCCTTTTTTTATAAACTTTTCGAATGAATATAGAGAATTATATAAAAGTACGAACTTAATGAATTTTGTACTCGATTATGTGTAGATAGTAAAACATTAGAACAAAGAGAACTTTAGGAAAAAGATCCACATTGAAGACAATATGTAATCTAATCTCATGTTGTTCGTTTATTTGTACTACCATCAGTTAACCATGATACTTATGCGAACCGATAGCAATTCTTACGACTTTTATTTTCAGTATAAACGACTGCAACGACTGTTGTCTGTCAAGATTCAAATTAATTCAAAAGAAGACAGTTTCAGAACAGATTTTACTACAAAAAAAACTAACTCATATCTATCGTCGATTTAAACACATCACCACTAATCGAAAAAGATTCAGTTCCGTCAGTTCAAACAGACTTAAATTTCTTTAAGCTTTTATTTTTAATAATGAATCAAAAAAATATCTCCTTTATTAATCCTGTGTATGTCCTAAATATTTTATAAATTAATTTTATTTAATAGACACCAATACGTTCTGGTCCTTACCTTGTATCCGGTGCACGTGATAAGACAATTCGAATGTGGGACGTTACTAATGGACTATGTTTATTTATATTGGTAAATAATAATATTGATTATTATAATTTTTTCTATTCATTTTTAAAAATTATATTAGACTGGTCATGATAATTGGGTTCGTGGTCTTCTCTTCCATCCAGGTGGAAAATATATATTGAGCTGTTCTGATGATAAAACTTTACGTGTATGGGATATAAAAAATAAACGAAATACAAAAACTATCGATGCTCACACTCATTTTTGTACTTCACTTGGTAAGAATAAAATCCATTGTCTGGTTATTTTGTTATCGAATGTTAATTCTTTTTTTTTCATTTTAGATATGCATCGAACTAAACCATATGTGATTACAGGCAGTGTGGACACATCAGTTAAAGTATGGGAATGTCGTTAGTTTTTACTATTTATTTGTATATGCTACTCTTGCAATAGCTCTTTTTTCGTTTCTCTGTAGTCATTTATAAAAAAAAATGTGTGAGCGAACAAAAAATAACTCTATTTTTGACATATGACCGATAAAAAATGACTACTTTTTCCGTGCTGCTTGTGTATGTCTATTGGTTTTATTTGTGTGTGTGCACTGTTTGTTTAGGCTCGTGTTCTTTTTTTCTGTGTGCGTGTGTATTGATTGGTTATCTTTATTTGTTTTTTTTTGGCTATATTCACTACTTTTCGCTCAAATACAGTACAGAACTTCGAAAAAAAAATAAGAACAGATATAAAAAACATTGCACCAAAAACGAGATTAAATTGAGCAAAAAATGAAATGAGAAAAAAAGAGAACTTAGTTTAATTCTTTATGTAATAACCAAATACATGTTTGACCAACACCTGTCATGGTAACAACATGAAAACCAATTTGTTCAAGTTTGTCAAGAACAACACGTGCACAATCATCTGTACGATATTCTGAACTAAAACAGAAAACGTATAAAACGTTTCTTTAGGCAATTTCAAACAACGTTGAATTTAAAGTTATAAAAACCTTTAGTTTGTGTTATCTTGTAGAAAACTATTTTCGTTTTTCTCTTTTTTTACAAGTTCATAATCACTCATTTGATTCAATACAAAAAGAAATCGAAGACATCGAATCAAAACTAAGGTTAAATCAGTGAATGTTTTACTGATTATTGTTTTGCAAAATGAAAGAATTATAAGCCAAAAAACTGCATTTTGTTTTTAAATAGATTTCATAATTATTTTTTTCAAACTATGCATGTAATTTGAACCGAACACAAACTGCCGATAGACTTCGATATAATATGTTCATGTCACATGTTTGTTCGCATTACCAATAGTACAGCACATATTATACCGAATGGTCCACCAAAAAGTTTCAATGTCAACCGACGTTAGTTTGTTACTTAACCCGTTAGATATTCTCTGACTGCTATTCCACCCTAGTATATCGATAGTTATTCTCCGACCGGCATTCTATAGCCAGCATTTTTTCGTTACGTAAAATGATTTCAATAAGTCTTGATCGCTTTGAATTAATATTTTTTTTCTTGAACATTTTTTCAGTAGAGTGGGCTGATATGCATAGCATATATACTAAACATTCAGAACTATATACTAGAAGTTGAGCTTCCTACTTCGGATAACCAGAGAAATGTAAGTGACATAAAACTCATAAGAATTTTTTCAATTACCTTTTCTAAAAAGAGCACCAGTGGAAAATTGTTACTATTCAATCAATCTCTCATAAGGAGCAACTATTAGTTTTTCAATGCTCTGTCGATGTTTTTTTCTTGTTATGTTTAAACAATTTCGATTCATAACTCAAGTTTAAACCACTACTTTCCTCTTAATATTCATAACAAAACGACAGAAAAACCTTCATAGTTCAAAAGATTGTTAGGAATTTTATGTTATTTGCATCTCTGCGATTATCAGTGATAGAAATTATAAATTTTAGCATAGAATAAACATATCGAGATTTACATTTCTATTTTGAACAGTACTCCTAAAATTGAGTTCTATCTTTCGGAAAATGTTTCTTTAATCAATATTTAAAATTAAATGTACCATGCAAAAGAATGACAACAATCATAATCTCAAATTCAAATTAATATCATACTTACTAAGTGTTACATTTTTCATGAAAAAGTTTTGCTCCTAAATAAGCCATAACCTCTGGATCTGTTCGTTCATCACCCACAATAGTTGGACCTGGTTCGAGACGAATTTTTGTACTTATAAGTAAATGAGGCATATCTAAAAAATAAAGATAAAAACACAAAATTTATCTAAACATGTTTCAATATTGAATTAATCAAAACAAAGGTTTTTCTTTTTTTAATAATTCAACAAGTTTTTCAAAAGTTGGTCTATCTTTTGGATCTACAGCCCAACAGGTTGTCATGATTGCGTAAATTTTTTGTGGACATTTCTCGGGTTGTTTCAGACGTTCACCTAAATCAATGTATAGAAAGAAAGAAGAACAATAATTTCTTTTACCATTTTTAACTGCATCAATAACGAAATGATTAAGTGCTATATTTGAATAAGGTGTATCTGCTTTAGAAAAAACTTCCCAAACAGTTACACCATATGACCAAACATCTGATTTACTTGTATATGGAGCTATAGAAAAAAAAATATTATTAATTAATTTTGTTAAGAAAAAAAAATACATAACAAAATAAACAAACCATTAGAAAAGACTTCAACAGCCCACCAACGTATTGGAATTTCTTTAATCTGACAAAAATATTCTTCATCTGATTGTAAACATCTTGATAGACCAAAATCAGCTACTTTGATTCGATTCTTTTTATCAACTAAACAATTACGAGCAGCTAAATCTCTAAAATACAAACAGAAAACAAAAAGATTTATAAGCAACTTCTTGTTCTTAAACAACATACCGATGTATAACATTACGTCTTTCTAAATATTCCATTCCTTTAGCAATATCATAACACATTTGAATTAATTGTGGAACCCGTACTTCATTAGTTTTTAAATAATTATTCAAACTTCCCTCTGAATTTCGAAAATTACTATTTTGTTTTTAACATACAAAGAAAACAAATTTAATTCTACATACGTTCAATAAGTTCCATAATAATCATAAGTGGATCCCGTATTGCAGCAATACCAAGAAATTTAACAATATTTTTATGTTTATATTGTTGAAGTAAAAGAGCTTCATTTATAAAATTTTTTCGAGCTTGAGGATTTTGAGCTGCTGATGATTCATGAAGAATTTTGACAGCTACAGGTTTACCACGAAATTCACCACGGGCAACTTGACCGAAATGACCCTAAAATAAACATATGGATACAAATGAAATATAGTTTTGATCATTTTACTCAAAAGTCTATGACTAATCGAGTCAAAAATATAAACAAGTATGTCTGATAATAATGTGTTTTAATAGTATTTCAATAATGATAAAGAAATACCAATGAGTCAAGTCTAGATAGCGAATTATTTTAGGATGAAGCAAAACAGAACGCTTTTCGATTACATCATACAAAATATTCAATTTATTGTAGTTTTGCAGTCGGAATATAGTACTTTATTAGAATCTTTTTCAGAGTCCGGTAGATCATTTCACAAATGAATCTCACTAAATGAGACATTGCTTTTGAGATGAATCTCAATTAATTGAATAATACCGTTTTTTAGACTAAATACAGTTCTTCTATCTTACATGATCTTCAAAATTAATTTTCGAGTTCAAAAATTGAACAAAATAAGTTCTCAACAGAAACAGAATTTTCAATATATTACTATGTGAGGATAGAAGATAATAGAAAATCTCAGATTTTTACAACGGATTAGACACGTTAAGAAATTTATTTATGCAAAGTTAGAACTCAAAAAGTGAATTCTGAACATAATTTGAGGAAGTGACACTGCATTTTGTTGAAAAAAAATCAATAAAAATGGTCAGCATTCAACAAGACTTATAAGAATGAATTCTTTTGGTTCTCTAAAATTTCAAGGCAGTCTAAGTAATGAGGCAATACTCATATCAAAAGCATTGTTCCACTTATCAAAGTTTCTTCAGTAAATACTTTGGCGATCTTTTTATATTTTATGATAATACTGTACTAATAGATTCATTGAGTATATGACTGTATAGAAAACTTATCGAAACATTATTCATCGTCTACTCAATAAAAAATTTATATAAGGGCTCTTTAATGATTATTTGCGACAAGGTCGAAAAATATGAGAATAAATTTACTGTATTATGTTCTCAAACATTTAGAATGTAATTCAATTAAGTATAATAGAGCAAAATAATGTTTTTAAAAAACATTTCAGTCATACATTTGTTCTCTGTTAAAAACATATGCAACATACTTACTTTTCCTAATATGTCTAATATACGAACTTCATCATTATTAATCACATAATCTGGCCTTGATATAGGTCGAATTAATCGTGTCCCATCATCTCGTAATTCAATTTTTTGTCTTTTATAAAATGAAATTAATTCCGGAACAGATGATTTTAAATATACGTCTGGCTGTAATGAATACATCTGATAAAAATAATAAAAATTAAAAGAAAAAGAAAAACGAATTTATAAAGTTTTAATTCCTTATCGTACTTGATTTCGTTCATGTATTAAAAAATGTCCATCTTTTAATCTACTTGGATTATCTGGATCCGTCCATAAAATTGATAAAACAATTTTTCCTTGTTCGTTTATACGAACTAAATAATCTCCTTTTTGTATTAATTGACTAATACTTTGATTACGTGGTATAATACCATGAAAATACGGTTGATCTTCAAGTCGATCGGTTAACTAAATAATTAATATTAAACAAAGTTTTAGAAGAGATAGATAATCATTTAGATTATTTTACATCTTCATCTGAATCTCCATTAGATTCATCATCTGATCTATATCCAACACTTTTCATAATTGATTTTAATTCATCACGTAATTGTTCTTCCCATCCTTTTCTCATTCGTGTATAATCTATCGATCGTTTTTGTTCAAATAAATGTTTTCGTTCATCATATAAACTAGAAAGAAATCATTTTATTAGAATGACATAAAAAAATTTCATTTAACTAGCTTTTGTTTTTCTCGAGCAAAATTAATGATTTTTGGTATTGGTTCATTTATACTCATAGTTAATGTTTGAATTCTAGAAATATTAAAAAAAGAAAAGACGAATTATTTCAAACCAAAAGAAAAAGTTCTTTTTAGTTTTTAAAACTTTTGTTTTAAGTCTTGTTTTGTTGAACCATCACCAATAAATTGATTGCTTTTTACTTTTGTTAAACCTGATGTTTGAAGGAGTAATTCATTAAATGTTTGGGGATTAGTTGTCATTTGAGTGATACTATAAAAATAAATTATTTAGAAAAAAAACGACTGAAAATAATTAAACAAAATACAAACTTGGAATGAATTCTACACATTTCATTATAAAAATGACGTGGTTCAAGAGACGATATCATTCTTCGTAATGCTTCTGCCGTTGTAGTTGGTTCACAATGTTTATTACTTAAATAATTAACCATAGCTTCAAGTAGACTTTGCCTATTTAATTAAATTTTAATGTTTCAAAAATGAATAGATATAACTAACCATGATCTATTTAAAAGTGATTGTGATTCTTCATGATAAATAAGTAAACTTCGAACTTTTTGAACATATTCTTTATCAATAAAATTATATTCTCGAATTTTAAGAATATAATCATTATGTGCACGATATACATTGCCTCGTTTTTCAATAACAACATCTTTTAAATTTTTTATTCGAGAATCATCACTTTTACGAGCATCTAAATAAATATATTTAAGGTTAATTCAGAACTAATATTTAACTTCTTTCGTTTTCCAGGATTTATTTGATGGTAAACACAAATAAACTATATTACTCAGATGTTTTTTTGCATTCATTAACATGATTCAAGAAGTATTAACAAATCAAAATAGACAAATGTATATACTAAGATAATAAATAGTTTGCCATGTGGTCAAAATTAAATCTTCATGTATCAAAAAAACAATGAATAATGTTTTCAGTTATGTATAAGCTTCTTCACGAAGAATATGTCTTTCAAAGCTATTATTTATAATCAAAAAAAAGAAGTATGTGAACATCTGTTGTTTTTGATTTATGCTTTTTTTCTTATAGCATAATTTATAGTATATCGATTTGTCCATAAACCAAACAAAAAACAACATCGTAGTCTGTCATGTTTTTGTGATAAACAGCTATTCTTATCAAGATTTTTACATGCTTATAGCGTAACAACGAAGCAGCTTTCTCTTTATGTGCGTACTCGTGTCTTTTCAAAAAAATACCATTTATTTTTCTTTGTTATTCATATTAAAAACAACTTACTATTCTGAAGTTTTGTTAGTTCATTATTTTTTGCAACATATATTTTGGCTTCATCTAAATAACGTTTTTCAGCATCAGCGACATCACGTTGAGCCTAAATAATTATAATTATAGAAAATTAAGTAAAGAAATTATGTTCATAGGAAAATTCATTCTATGCAATCTAATAAACATGCGACTTACCAAAAATAAATTTTTTTTTTCTATCATTTAAATAAAACGTTTCTGTTCGAAATAGAAAAGAATTAAAAAAGCTTACCTTTCGATGTTCACCATCATATCGACGTTTCTCATCATCTAAAAATTTTTTTGAATCATTTTTTTGTTCAATAAGTCCTTTAAGTAGATCATCCAGTACAGTTTTTCGAAATTGTTCGGCATTTGAACTCATTGTTGTTGCTACATGAGACCATTGCAAAAAAACTTCTCGAGATACCTTTTTTGTTTATACAAAAAAAATTCAATGATAAAATCATACATTCTTAACAATTTTCTTTCTTTTTTTTTTACCGAAGCAATCGCATTTGTATTAATTGGCCATGTAATACGATTAGCATTAGTTGTTAAATCTTGAAGATTTTTTGCATATTGTTCATCGAATGAGATTCGTTTTTCAAGAATTTTTTTAATATCTTGTAGAACTTTACATTCCTCACTTACAACATTACTTAATAGTCGACAACCTTCATCACTGGAAAAATTGTCTGATAATTGATGGATGATATTATTCAATATATAGGGTGATGATGGATGACGATGATTCATTGTTGTTCGTGAATTTGACGCATTTACAAATACTTCAGGTTTTTTTTTATATAGTTTGCCTTTATGATTGTGCCTGTTCTTTTTTTTCCTTCATTTCTTATCGTTATTAAGTCAACTAGTAGTGACGGTCCGTTTTATTTTATATATATATGAGATGCCAATCGTTTACAAGCTGTTGCAGATGGCATGGCTCGACAAGAGAGTACGTGAAATTTCCTCTTCACGTGTAAATATACGAAAATACTGATATAATCGAAATGATATATGAATTTTTATTATTATTATCTAGATTAAATCAAAGTAAAAATGCAAAAAAGAAAGTACAGGTTTTAAGTGTACAACAATGAATAGAATAGATCTCTCAGTTTTCGTTTATACTTTAATGTCAATAATAGAAAAAAAAAATATATAAACGAAGTAAATGTATATTTACATAAAATTATATTAAAGTGTTTAAAAATAGTTGAATAAGTAGTCTTTTATTTACCAAAAGCAATTGAATAGAAGAAAGAAGAAATCATGAACAAGGTATATAATCATTTTCTTATTTAGGTACGATTCAATCTATAGATATTTAGTTCGAGTACGTCACATGTCATTGACATTATAGTATTTTTACGTAAGTCTAATGTAGAAAAGAAAATGTCTTAGTTGATCATAATTAGAAGTAATATTTATGCACGAAAAGTTCATTGAAAATTTTAAAGATATTCATAATTTCACAATGAAATAAATGATTCATAATACTATAAAAAAAAAAATGATTCTTTATTTCTTCAAGTATGCTAATTTTTCTTCTTTATCTTCTTTAAAAATGAATGTAAATTTAAGTCGAGTTATTCATATGGATTCAATTGCAAAAAGAAAAATTTTATAAGATTTTTATTAAATTTTTATTATGAATTTCATAAAATCTAATCTATAAGAATAATTTATCAAACACGACTTTATCATAATATTCCAATGCATTACTTTAATTATAAGAAAGATGATAATTAATTGATGTTTATCATCTTTCTTTTTAATTATATTCAACAACAACAGCAACAAAAAAAAAATACATAAATATGTAAAAACAAATGAAACACAAAAAAAAAAGGACTTGAATGAAACTAATCTAAAACTTCCTATTTCTTTTTAAATATTAAATCTGACACACATTAATTTAAAAAAAAAAAATATATATATATTTGAATAAAATTAAAATTATGTCATTGAATTAACGATGGCTTGTTTTGGTTCAGCTGTTTTATAAAAAACATTTTTAACAAGTAAACACCGGGGACTTACATATAATGAACTTTTTTCTTTAAATGATTTAAATAATTTTATATCAGGTAAAAATCTTCTTAATGTAAATACTTTTGTATCTTCATGTAAATCTATTTCTATTTCAAATATTGTTTTTTGTTTTGGATTTATTCTTATTATAGGTAAATATTTTACTATTGTTGATTTCATATTTGATGATGATGATGGTGATAATGTTAATTTAATTTTAATTTGTGCACCCATAATACCAAATGGTTCTTCAGCTGACATAATTAAACATTGTTGAGCAATATTTCGTATATGATTACATGGAAGAAATAAATTATTACATGATAAATGTTTTATTTTACTTTCACGTAATGTTGTTAATAAATGTTTTGATATAAGTGTAATATGTTCTTCACGTAAATCAAGTTCAGGATCATATATAAATGTTGATTGTTG